GATAGTTTTTTTATAATATTTTTTTTATTATATTAGACAGAAAATCACTTAAAACGGAAAAGGAAGCAAAATGAAGCTAACGACAGGACTGACAAACAGTCACACCTTCGACGAGCCATCAATTTCGCATTGGTATATATCCCAATTGATGAGATAATTTTTATCAATTCCATCCTCCATACTAAACAACTTATAAAAAATTATAATTAAAAAGGTATTTTGTACAATTTCATCTTGTTCTCTTTTCAATAACTACACTTTTTTTAAGAATAAGAAACTAATATTATTTCAAGGACGAAATTTTCAACCGGAGATAAGTGGATTGAAATTGCACAGGGCTGAACATAGAGAGCACGATGAACTATTACCTAATATAAGGATGAAATGAATACTTGATTTCATAAAATGACAAATATTCCTTTCGTTTCATTTTACTAAACTCATATTTATAACCTGCCTTCTAAAATTAAGATATATTTAACAAAACTATTTTTAAAAAAAATATCACCAACGCCGTGAGGTTCTAAATTAATAATTAAAAAAATAATTAAGAATCACCACCTAATTTTAAAACTTTTCTAAAATTAGCATATAAATTATTTAACAAAAATAATCCAAGAACCCAATCAATTCTAACTAAGGGGTCGTTTGGTTTGAATTAGTATTTTAGGCAGGGGCGTGAGATGAGACATTTTATGTCGTACGGGGTGAGACGTAAGCCTCGAGATACGGGGCGTAAGTCATATAGATCTACCGGGCGTAGTCTCATGTATATTTAATTTTATTACTAAAAAATATAAGCAAAAGTAAAACTTTTAATTATTTTACAAATAAATTTTAATAAATAACCTATAATGTATAGAAAAAATATTATGATTTTTATTTGAGAAAGGTATAAATAACCATGAAGAAATAAAGTATTACAATTACTATTTGAGAAATATCGTTACATAATAATAAAATATATGATTTAAAACAAAAAAGAGTTAACCCCCACCCCCGAAAAAAAAACACGCACGGGGATTGCGTTTTTACGCTTGGAGCTTACGCCCCAAATTCTAGGGCATACACCCTATGGATCTACGTCTTCAATTTGCGGCCCGGAACGGCTTTAGCACGTCCCGCCCCGAGACTCGCCCCAAAAAAAACATTTTTGAAAACACTGGTTTGAATACAAGTTATGCTGAGATAAGTATGCTAGAATTAGTTATCCTAGCACTATTTCTTATTGATCGTTTGGTTTGTTGTACTAAAAATAACGGAAAAGGCTCAAAAATACCCCTGAACTATCGGAAATAGCTCATATTTACCCTTGAACTATATTCTGGCTCAAAAATACCCTTCCGTTAAAGTATTGGGTCACTTTTACCCTTACTATTAACAGAGGTGTGTTAAGTGCCATGTGGACGCCACGTTGACGCCACATAAGCACCAAACAATTCTCACCTCCACATAGATTCATACATCCTAATTACTAATTTTGATCTCATTTCTTTTGGGACATACAATTTGACCCACTCTCATTTCTCTAAAA